ACACACACACACACACACACACACACACACACACACACACACACACACAATGTTTTATCTCCCAGCAATAGAAGTGTAACTAGTCAGTGAGAGTTCATACAGTTTTCAGCCTCTTTCGTACCAACAGCAGGGCATGTACAGATTTAGATGCATGATTTAGACTTTTGTAAAGCTCCTCTCCCCATCCGTGAAGTAATGATCATGAAGGCAAATGAGCACTAAAAAAATGTAGATGAAAAGATTTTTTTTTACAATGAAACACTACATGTCAGAATACATGTATTCTGTTGTATGCACAACTACATACAAGTACTGAAAGGAAAAATAAATATAGCTATGATCACTAATTTTTATGAAAACAGAAAAACATTGTTTCAGTCTGTTGCAGTAATAAGTTTAATTATCTATCTATACTTTGTATTTCTGCAAAGTTCTCAATGACTTCATAAAGTTGATTTCCTGTCCCTGTTCATGTTCAAATGAGACTGCAAGTTATGTTAGTCTTTCTATTACATTGAGAAGATAATATTTTTTATTCATTTTCAATAAAACTGTTTTTTCATAAAAACTCCTAGATATATAAAGAGCTTGGGAAGATTTTTCAACTCCAGGACAAGATTCAAAAGCAAACCATTTTTATAGTAAACTTCCAAAATTATAGTACTGTCCATGTCTGACTTTGCTAGGATCAACTCTAGTGATTTAAAAATATCCAAGTACTCATATTTACAGAAAATATTTTTAATATATGCAATGGTTTAATAACATTAAATAACACTTTAGGACCTAAAATCTTTGAACTTGATATTTCAGGGCAGGGTTTAATATTGAAACTGTTTGCTATTTTCAGAATGTAATTCATTAGTAAAGTCTTGTAAAAGTGTTTGAAGGGTGGCATGGGTGGTCATACTACTGACTCCCCATTCCAGAAGGTTAGGCTAAAACTATTTTAACTTGAATCCAAGAGGACTTTAAACATTATTTTAATAGAAAATGAGTGCATATTGATGTTTAGATATTACCTACCGTTTCAATCTTTCTATTCATATTTGCTATGCTTTATAACATGGAGGAATTTTAAGAACAGAAAACATTGGCTTTCTTATTTAAATTTAAAAAGTCTGAATTTTAGACTCAATATTTTCATCATAAAAATAAAATTAAGTATAGGCTAGTAATGTTAGGGAGTTAATCTTGTTTATTATATATTAGGTTCTTTCATCAGTTTTGTAATTAAATATTTTACATATATATATGTGTGTGTATGTATTTATATGTATGTGTATATATGTATATTATATATAATATACATACATATGTATACTTTGGTTACAAAAATTATTTTATTGCAGATTTTATCATAGGTTTATCTCCCGTTTAGTAGAAAGAGACTGAACAAAAACATCAAAGTTTTCCAGTTTCTTGAGCTCTTTTAACTCTAGTGCTGACACTAGAGTATGTATACAATCAGATTATAGATGGTAGTCAAAATCATACAGAAGAAAGGGAAACGCTGCTTTGTTACTCTTTTTTTAAAGAATCATTATATATATATATATATATATATATATATATATATATATATATATATATAATCAGTACACTGTAGCTGTCTTTGGACACACTAAAAGAGGGTATCAGATCCTATTGCAGATGATAGTGAGCCCTCATGTGGCTGCTAGTAATGAACTCAGAACCTTTGGAAGAACAGACAGTGCTCTTAACCACTGAACTATCTCTCCAGTCCTTTCTTAATCTTGAAAACAAACACATTGTTCTAATTTTTCATGGAGCCAGTAGAATATATGAAGATGTTTACATTAAATGTTCTTTAAGTTATAACATTCAATAAATGTTAATTAATAAAATGTACTTATTTAAGAATCATTTCTATTTTGTTAAAAATACAGTGACTTTATGCTGTGTGTGTACCTTTGATGGTGAACTGTTATTTCATTAACATTCCTTACAATTTATGTGTTATTTCTCATTTCATTTACTTACAATCCTGCTATTGAATCCCCTCATGGTTAGTCCTCCAACAGTTACTTATCCCATTCCTCATTCCTCTGTCTCTGAGTGGATGTACAACTACCACCTGGCCTCTCCCCTCCCTGGGGCCTCAAATCTCTTGAGAATTAATCACTTTTTATCCAACTGAAGCCCAAGCAGGTAGCCCTCTGCTATATATGTGTTGGGGGCCTCTCACTAGCTCCTATGTGCTCTTGATTGGTGGCTCAGTCTCTGTGAGCTGCCAGGAGTCTGGGTTAGTTGAGACTCCTGGGTTTGCACTCCTCTTGACTTTTTCCCTCCTTCACTTAATTCAACCACAGGAAGCCCAACTTCAGTCCAATGGTTGGGTATAAGTATCTGTTTCTGTCTCAGTCAGCTACTGATTGGTCCTCTCAGAGAACAGCCATGCTAGAATCCAGTATATAAGCACAAAATATCATCAGTAATACTGCCAGGCCTTGGTGACTCTTCATGAGATAGATCCCAAGTTGGGCATGTCGCTTCCTCACCTTTGCCTTCTGTGATTGTGCTCCTGAAGTTCTTTAAGACAGGAACAATTCTAGGTCAGAAATTTTGACTATGAGTTTGATACCCCATCCCTGGAATTGAGGTCCTGTTTATCTATTGGAGGTAAACTCTACAAGTTTCCTCTCACCACTGTTGGGCATTTCATCTATGGTTATTCCCATTTAGTCCTGAGAGTCTCTTAACTTCCACATCTCTGGTACTTTCTAGCGGGTCTGCCCACCTCCAAACCTTCAAGTCTTCATATTTCCGTACATTCTCCTGGCCCTTTGGAATTCTCTTCTGTCCACCTGAAACCCATACCTGATCCTGTCCCCCTTACACCCTTACCCTTGTCTCTCCCACCCAGATCCCTCCCTTCCTCTGCCTTCTGCTAGTATTTTCTTCCCCTGTCTAAGTGGGGTTGAAATATCTTCACTTAGCCTTTCTGCTTGTTAAACTCCTTTCATTTTCTGGGTTCTATTCTAGACATTCTGTTCCTTTTGGCTAATACCCATGAGTAAATACCATGCATGTTCATTAGGGTATGGGTTATCTCACTCAGGGTTATATGTTCTAGTTCCATCCATTTGATGCAAAAACCTTGATGTCCTTGTTCTTAATAGTTGAATAGTATTCTGTTGTATAAATGTACCACATTTTCTGTAGCCACTCTTCCTTTGAGGGACATATGGGTTGTTTCCAGCTTATGACTATTAAAAATAAGGCTGCTATGAACATAGTAGGGCAAGTGTTCCTTTGGTATGCTAGGGGATCTTTTGGGTATATGCCCAAAACTGATATAGTTGTTTTTTCAGGTAGAACTATTTCCAATTTTCTGTGAAACCTCCAGATTGATTTCCAAAGTGGTTGTACCAGTTTACAATCCAACCAGCAATTGAGGAGTGTTCCTTTTTCTCCACATCCTCACCAACATGTGCTGTCACCTGAGTTTTTGATCTTAGCCATTCTGATTTGTGTAAGGTGGAGTATCAGGGTCATTTTATCTAATGACGAAAGACTTTCAAGATTTTTTTTAAGTGTTTCTTGGCCACTCAAGATTCCTCTGTTGTGTATTCTCTGTTTAGTTCTATACCCCATGTTTTGGTTACTTTATTTGTTTATTTTTCTATATAGGTTAGCTTCTTGAGTTCTTTATTTATTTTGGATTTTAGCCTTCTATTGTCTATGGGGTTAGTGAAGACTTTTTTTTTCCAATTTGTAGGTTGCCAATTTGTCCTTTTTGCTGCACAAAAGCTTTTCAGTTTCACAAGGTCTCATTTACTAATTGATAATCTTAAACCAGAGCCATTGGAGTTCTGCCAATGAGTTGGAGGCTTTTTCATACTTTTTCTTCTATTCAATTCAGTCCTTGATCTACATGAACATCAGTTTTGTGCAACAAGATAAATATGAGTCTATTTTAATTTTTCTACATTCAGACCATGAGTTAGACCTGCACCAATTATTGAAGATGCTTTCTATTTTTCCACTGTATATGTTTGGCTTCTTTGCCAATGATCAAGTGTCCAAAAGGCTGTTGGTTTATTTCTGAGTCTTAAGTTCTATTCCATTGATCAACCTGTCTGTCAATGTACCAATACCATTCAGTTTTTATTACTATCACTCTGTTGTAAAGTTTGAGGACAGGGATGTTGATTTCCCCTAGAATTTCTTTAATTGTTAAGAATTGGTTTTGCTATCCATTGATTTCGTTTTTCCATATGAACTTGAGAATTTCTCTTTCCATGTCTGTGAAGAACTGAGTTGGAATCTTGATGTGGATTGTGTTGAATCTGTAAATTGCTTTTGGTAGGATGGTCATTTTTAGTATGTTAATCCTACTAATCCATGTGCATGAGCATGAGATTTCTTTCCATCTTCTGAGGTGTTCTTCAATTTCTTTCTTGAAATACTTGAAGTTTTTGTCATATAGATTTTTCATTTGTTTGGTTAGAGTTACACCAATATTTTTATATTATTTGTGACTATTGTGAAGGGTGTTTTTTCTCTATTTTCCCTCTTAGCCCATTTATCATTTGTGTAAAAAATAAAATCTAGTGATTTGTTTGAGTTAATTTTGTATCCAGGCACTTTGGTGATGTTGTTATCAGATGTAGAAGTTTCCTGGTAAAATTTTTGGGGTAGCTTATATATTCTACAATATCATCTGGAAAATAGTAAAACTTTGAATTATTCCTTTCTAATTTGTATCCCCTTGATACAAATTGTTGTCTTAACATTCTAGCTAGAACTTCAAGTACTGTATTGAATAGATACAGAGAGAATGGTAACCATGTCTTTTTCTTGAAGTTAGTGGTATTTCTTCAAGTTTCTCTCCATTCAATTTGTTATTGCCTGATTGATGGCTGTATTCTGCTTTTATTATGTTTAAATAAGGGCCTAGAAATTCTCTGCATTCCAATACTTTTAACATGAAGGGGTGTTGTACTTTCTCAAATGAATTTTCAGCGTCTAATGAGATGATCATGAAATGTTATTTAGTTTGTTTATATAGTGTGTTAATTTAATAGCTTTCATATATTGAACTGGTCCCTGCATCCCTGGAATGAAGCCTTACTTGATCTGTTTGAATGATGATTTCAATGTGTGTTTGTATTTGCATTGCTAAAATTTTATTGTGTATTTTTGCATTGATATTCATAAGAGAAATTGGTTTGAAATTTTCTTTCTTTTTTGGGTCATTAAGTAGTTTACGTATCAGAGTAACTGTGACTACATAGAATTAGATAAAGTTCCTTCTCTTTCTATAGTATGGAACAGTTTGAGGAGTATTGGTATTAGCACATCTTTGAAGGTCTGGTAGAATTCTGCACTAAAGCCATATGGGTCTTCACTTTTTTGATTGGGATGCTTTTAATGAATTCCTCTATTTCCTTCAGGAATGTGACACTATTTATGTAGTTTACTTGTTAATAATGTTACTTTGGTATTTAGTAACTGTGTAAAAAGTCATCCATTTTATCTAGGTTTTCCATTTTTGTTGAGTAAAGGTTTTTCTAGCATTATTTGATAATTTTATTAATTTCCTCATTTTTTGTTGCTATGTTTCCCTTTTTATTTCTGATTGTGTTATTTTGAATACTTTCTCTGTGTCTTTTAGTTAGTTAGGCTAACTCTTGTCTGTGTTTTCTTCTTTTTGTTCTAGGGCTTTCAAATGTGTTGTTAAGTTGTTCTTTACCAGGGCACGTACTACTATGAATTTTACTCTTTGCACTGCCTTTATTATGTCCCATAAGTTTTGCTATGCTATGTCTTCATTTTCACTGAATTCTGTAAAGTCTAATTTCTTTCTTTATTTCTTCCCTGTATAGGTTATTATTGAGTAGAGAGTTTTCTAGTTTCCATGGGTATGTGGGCTTTCTGTTGTTTTTCTTGGTATTGAAGTCTAAGTTTATTCTGTGGTGATCTGACAGGATGCATGGGGTTGTTTCAATCTTCTTGTATCTGTTGAGACTTGTTTTGTGACTGATTATACTATCAATTTTGGAAAAAGTACTGTGAAGTGATGAGAAGAAGGTATATTCTCTGGTTTTAGTATATTTTCTGGTTTTAGTATGAAATCTTCTGTACATATATCTGTTAAATCCATTTTGATTAAAAACTTCTATTAGTTTCAGTGTGTCTCTATTTAGTTTCTGTTTCAATGACCTGTCCATTGGTGAGAGTGTGGTGTTCAAGTCTACTCACACTACTCCTGTTTGAAGATCAATGTGTGTTTAAACTTTAGTAAAGTTTCTTTTACAAATCTGTGTGCCTGTGCATTTGGGGCATAGATGTACAGAATTAATACTCTCTCAGTGCCTTTATCCTTTGATGAATATGAAGTGTCCATCCCATCTCATTTGATAACTTTTTGTTGAAAATCTATTTTATTAGATATCAGGATGACAACTTGTGCTTGTTCTTGTGATCTTTTTCTTGGAAAACACTTTTCTAGTCTCATTCTCTGAGGTAGTGTCTATCATTGTCACAGAGATGTGTTTCTTATAACAAGAAAATGCTGGATTCTGTTCATATGCTGTCTGTTAGCCAGTTTTGTTTTGTTTTTTTAAATTAGAGAATTGAGTCCATTGAAGTTGAGAAATATTAAACACAGATAATTGTTTGTTCCTATTATTTTTGTAGCTGACAGTGGTATTATTTATGTGTAATTCTATTTGGGGAGGTATGTTGTGAGATCTCATATTTTCATGGGTATAGTTACCCTCTTTGTGTTGGTGTTTTTCTTCCAGTATCTGCTGTATGGATGGATTAGTACAAAGATACATTTTAAATTTGGTTTTCTCATGAAATATCTTGGTTACTCCATTTATGGTGATTAAGAGTTTTTCTGGGTATAGTAGACTAGACTGGGCTTTGTGTTTTCTTTGAATTGGATCACATCTGTTCAGGATTTTTTGGGTTTTATAGTCTATGTTGATAAATCTGTTGTAATTCTGATAAGTCTGCCTTCATATCACACTTGGCCTTTTTTCCTTAAAGATTGTAGTATTCTTTATTTGTTCTGTGCATTTAGTGTTTTGATTATGGTATAAATATATAAACATAAAATAAATAATTAATAAGGCATTATTTTGCTACTCTTAGTGCTATTGTTATTATTACTATTGCTATGGAGGGAAAAATCTCAAACAAGATGTCAAAACCCTCATTCTTGTTAGCTACAAATACAATCACATTACTCATTAAACCAGATAGACATTTTTTTCTAAAAAGTTCATAATAAGAAACCATGTAGACCAGCTACTTAGAAAGGAAGAGTCCTTTAACAGTTGCAGTGAGTCAAAATAGATATATTCCCCTCTCCTATACATAGTTCTATATGCTATTCAACAGCAGTTTCCAAAGTTGATACATCTAGATTATTAGACAGAGCAATGGAGGTTTCTATGGATCTTCTAACCCTCTTCATTCTGTCCCCTTTCAGCTACAGCATTTCATTTTCATTACTTTAAGTAATGGTGTCTGCATTCCATAAAAAACAAAACAGCCAGTGTGTACTTAGGTTTGAGTCAAAGTGTTCCTAATTAGATATGCTTCTCATAGCAAACTCATTTTGGCTGTGAATAGAAACAGATATCTTGGTATGGCACAGTAGTATGGGAAAACTCACTCTCTCTCTCTCTCTCTCTCTCTCTCTCTCTCTCTCTCTCTCTCTCTCTCTCCTTTCTCTCATTTCCTCCTTCTTGTTAGTGTTGGTGTATAAGCCAAATGATGTTTGGTGTATCCTCAGAAATGGCATCTGCATTCTTTGAAAGAGAGTCTCTTATTGGCTAGCCTAGGCTGCCTTCTAGTCTACCTCAAATACCCTCCAATGTCTTATTCCCCAGTGCTGAGACTGTCATGATGTTTCCCATGATTGTCAATTTCTTAAAGATGGTAGGGGTCAAACTCAGATACTCATGCTTGGAAGGCAAGTACATTACTGATTAAGTCATCTACACGTGAGTGCCAGTATGACATCATAGAAATAGCCTAGAATGTTGACTCTAATGTATATGTAAACTTTCTCATCCCACGTTCCACTTTGTGCATTTCTTCACATATTCTGTACTTATTTGTGCATCATGGAATTAGTGGCTTTTAGATGTCAATGGTATGCATTTGTCTACAGTCACTATAAAACTCATTTTAACTAGTACACATAAGATAAGAAATTCAATGGTAGTTGTTACATCATTCTATGCAGAAGACATGGGGCTTACATTATCTCTGGTTAAATCTTCCATAAAGTGAGATGTGACCATTAATTTTCCTCTTCTCATACTTCTGAATATCTCTTTCAGGCTAAAGCTAGCTGTACCCCTTAAAGGAAATACTTCCTTAACCTACTGTCCTAAAGGAAATACATTCTTACCCTGCTGTCCTAAAAGTCTAGCTGACATGTAGCTCACCTCAGCATCTTCCTACCAATGATCATGATTAGGGAAGGGAAAACATGTATGGTTTATGCCAATGCCACATCTACCTAAGGAAGGCACTGGATCCCACTAAGATCTTAGAGAAAATTAATTTTCTCTAAGCAGTAGTTTTCCATCACAATTCCAATGCTACAGGGAGTTGAGAAGTGTCCTCTTCACATTATTGGAGACATATAATTTCTTTCATGCAACATTCTGAAGATTCTTATACCTGCAACACACTGACAATGGCCTTCATGCTTTCATCCCTCTTTCTTTTTTGCTGCAGCTCCTTCCGAAATCACATTTGCCATTGATGTTGGGAATGGCCCCACTGAACTCCTTGTCCAGTCTCCTTCTCCTCTGAATGACAACCAATGGCATTACATCTTGGCTGAGAGAAACCTTAAGGAGACCTTATTGCAGGTGGACAACCTTCCTCGGAGTATGAGAGAGACCTCAGAAGGAGGCCATTTCCAAGTTGGGCTGAATAGCCAATTGTTTGTAGGTAGGAGATATAATAAATCATACATCATTTTAAATACCTTCAAAATGGCTTTATGCTTTAGTTCAAGGACAATTCCTAGTATTTTACACATAGAAATCAATAAAAATATTGTGTTATTTTCACCATAAATTTAAATGTATAAATTGTTTTATTCTCTCTTTGTGGTAGTTGCAGTAAAGTTTGTGCTACTCTTAAGCAAATTTAGTTGCCAGATTATTTTATTACCATTTCTCCTTGTGCTTATTGTTCTCAAACACTGATGGAGTTTTACATTTTGGATCATTGTAATAGAAGTTTATAGTATAGGTATAGAAATTCCAATTCATCACTCTTCCCTGACTTCTGTTACCTATTGTCAACAAGATGGTCAAAGAATTTGACTAAAATAATCAACTTCAGGTTTCAGTAGTAAACATTGGATAATGTGCTGGCCAATTCTATTTCATCACATTACAAGCTAGAGTTACTTGAAAGAAAGACTCTTAATTATGAAAATGCCCAGAAATATTTGGGTGGAAGGTAAGTCTAAAGAGCATGTTCTTAATTAGTGATTGATGTTAGGCGATTGGAGATGTGAACTACCTCAACTGAAGAAATACTGTGGTTGCAGCCATTAAGCACCATGACTTATGCAGTGCTTGTGATCAAGCCCATTGCTTCATGTATAGGATGTAAGTATTCTATTAAATGGACTATATTCCTAACATGGACAATCTTGAAATATTGGAGTATTTTGATATTCTACAAAATCACAACACTACATTTAGAGTTGCCTTGGTTTTGCACAAAGAAACAGCCTAGTCTCTGAGCAGATGCCTTTCCTTGCTCATTCTCTCAGTGAGACTCAGCGCTATCATCAGTATGTTCTCGGAAAAGAAAATCAGTGATAGTATTGGGAATGGATAGAAGCTGAAGTTATGGTCTGAACTTGTACTTCCCTTTATTTTCCCGTCTCCTCCTCTCTTCTCCCTCCCTCGTTTTCTCCATCAATAGTCATGGAAAGCTCATGCTATTCAGGCATCCTTGTCTGATACTGGGGATGACAATATGATCTAAGAGAAGTAATTGCTTTTCATGGTACTCATGTGCATATGTGTCAGTGTGTGTACATCATGAGTGTGTATGTGTGTGAGCATGTTGGGAGGGGGCATGTATGTGAGATTTGGGCAGCATTTTAGATATTTTAGTCCAGGTCTGAAAATAAGGCCAATCTTTGCACTGTAATTTAGAAAGTAATAATTTGAAAAAATGTGATACAGAACTGTTAAACCAAAACAAAGCTTTAAATACAAGTGAGGATTTTAAATTTTGATGTAGATAATAAGACATAAGGTTATACAATTCTATGTAACCCTTGAATTTGGATGCTTAGACAGACCTGTACATGAATTATAGACTAACCATGAGAGAGTTTTACATCTTCATCTGAAAGCTGGTAGCAGAATCCTGTCTTCCAGTCATCTAGGATGAAGGGTCTTAATGTCCGTGTTCACAGAAACACACCTACTCCAACAAGGGCACACCTACTCCAACATATCTTGAAAAGTGTTGATTAATGAGTCATTGCTTGCTAGATTTCCAGAAAGCATCAAGATTCAGAGAGTGATATCAAGAACATTCCTTAATAATTTTGTACTTTATTACTGAGTCAAGGTCTCTTGTTGAATCCATGATTTGGTTGGTGTAGTTAACCTAATTTCCCCCTGGAGCATGTTGTTTTTGTCTCCTGAGTGATAGGAGTACAGATGGCTGCTATGACAAACCTCCCAGATACTATGAGTGCTAGAGGTCTGAAATTCATATTTCACGTTTATTCTGTGAATTAGTATTATCAATGAGACTTTAGCAGAGAAGTAGCTGGAATAAGGATACAATTGTCTTTGCAATTGATTAGAAATAAAGTTCAAGACTGACAGGGGTCTACTTCCCGCATGCCTCATCCCTGTGTTCATAGAAGAGCTTATTGTGGAAAGTCTCACACTTTCCCAGTGGGTGCGGCATCCTTCCAGATATACTAGCGTTGTATAGTAAACACTTAGGAAGATGAGTCTGTGAGTCTCATTTCTGCTGTTGCTTTCTTCTGGTTTTTCTTGTATGCAGGCACTTGATGCAGCTTGTCACATCTAAACAGAATGCAGAGGAAGATGTATTCCAGTGCTTATGCCCCCCACTTTTGTTTTCAGTCCAGGAAAGCAGCCAATGGAAATTGTGCCATCCACATTTAGTGTGAATCTTCCCACCTCAATTCACATAATCTAGAATCTCCCTTATACACATATTAGAGGATTGTCTCCTATGGAATTCTAAATCTGTCAAATTAACAGTTAAAATTTACTATGACAGACATTAAGCTTCTATAGGCTAATTACTGCCTTGGCACAAGTAATTCACATAGTGAATAAATTGCAGAATATTCAAAGGTAGAAGAAAAGAGAGGAGGGAAGGAAGAAATAAGACAAAGGAAGAATAATGGAGAGGGAAAAAGAAGTACAATGAGGTGCAACATAGCAACAGAAAAACCATTGACATACTAATTTTTGTTAAATCAGAGTCATATTTAGCCCATTGAGTGCTGGCCTCAAGGGAACTAAAGGAGACTGTGGGAAATGGAGACTCCTGGGTTTCTGCAGGGATACAGACATACAGCCCATTCTCTAGAGCCAATGAACATTTGTCAGTTGTTTCCTCTTTATAAGAGAGGAGAAGGTGAGTTAAGAGTAAGCATGCAGGTATTCATTCTTTCTCTGTTCTCGCTGTAGATGTAAGGAGTTGTTTCAAGTTCCAGCCTCTACTTTATTCAATGATAGATTCTACCCTGGAGCTGTAAATGGAATAAGCACCTTCTTCCCTGTTGCTTTTGCTGGGATATTTTATCATAGATACTTAACAGGAACTAAGGGAAATGACTAAGCAAAACATTCACTATCTCCCTCATTCATTCATTCATTCATTCATCCATTCACTTGTTGATGAAACAAATTAAACAAAAATGGCAATATTGGGACTTCAATTTCATTTCAACAAATGACATTTGCAAATGTACCTGTCATTGAACACTAAACTGGAGACATGAAGCAACAGTCAAAGATGACTTCCACCAGCCTTTTTTTCTCTTTCCAGTTTCATCAAAATAAACTCAATAAACCACAGTAATTTCTAATATGGGTGAGACTCACTTGAGAGAGAAGCACAAGAGAAGTTGGCATGCTCCTTAGACTAACCTTGGCTACAACTCTATCAGGATGTCAATTTCAGACCCATCCACTTGCTTGCACAACTCATTGTATTGGTGATCAATTTAAATATCTGGTGATAAAAATTAGGCTTGAAATGAAGGTAGTACCTTTCAAGAGTTGATTTATACTCAATCCAAGGAAACACTATCCTAATGAATTCACTGTATACCTATACCAAGTGAGATATGCTGTACCAAATTACTTCTAGCTACACCATCCAACCAATGGTCTTTGTTGTCAAGAAGATTGATGTCAGGAGCCAAAAGGATAATGAATGAGTGTATGTGTCTTAGAATAGGAAACCGTGTCAGAGAGAAGCAGAAGAAGGTTGATTCTATTTGTTGTGTTATTAACCTAAATTATTTAGTATAATCTCTCAGCACTTAGGGGTAGGAGTCCTCTGTAATGTTGTCAGACATCAGATCTCATTTCACCCCTGCACTTTCGTGTAAAGTTTGTCTGACTCCTGACCATAGCCAAGAAGATCTTTCTGAAATTATTTTCCCCACTTTGTGGACAAAGGGTAGCAACACCACTTTCTGGTCCATTGAGAATTCTATGAACTTGAAAAGTCTAGTATAACACAAGCATGCTTGAAATGGCTATACTTAAAATTAATGTAATTATTTTGAATCACAAGGAACACACAGATCAAGATTGAGACTTTAAAAAATGTTTGCAAACTACTCTATGAATAAAGATATGTTTTTCATTCTTCTAACTCTATCGTAAACAGTTTTGTGAATTTTCCCTAGAAAACATAAACAACTAACTTGTCTATTCAACCTAGAAAGGGCAAAAACAACAAAGCAAAGGAACAATATTACTCAAGTCCCCCTTACTGAGACAGAAAGTTTACTGTTTCCTCTATGACTATAGGTGAGGCATGTTCACAGCAACATTGGCACACAGGTAGCTGCCTCACTGACAGCTCACTCTGGCCTAGAAGATGATTTTAAAAAGCGACTTTGCTCAGGTCCCTGAACTGCTTACACACATCTTGGGGGTGGAAAGTGGGAGATAAAAGATATTCTGTTTGAATAATTGTTATAACAGTTATAACCTTTGGGAGGAGATTATGAATACTTTGAGAATAGTTCAACTTTGTTTATGTTACTGATCCTAATAAGCATCTCTATGAAGGAATATTATAATTTGGAAAAATAGCTACTTAACAACTGAACATAAGTCAAGATTCAAAATAACAAATCAGAAAATATATTACTATGACAGCAGAAATATGTATGTGCAGAGTTGGCAAATCTGAATGATTCCAGGAAAAAAAGGCAGCAAGAAAACAGGCACACTGCGATCTGATTTGTCAATTATGGACACACTGGAATTTTGCAAGTATTCATTTTCTTTTAAAAATTGGAACATGGGGATAGAAAATTGGCTCATCCGATGCAAGCACTTGCAGCCAAGACAAACAACCTGAACTGAATTCCTAAAGCCCACATAGTAAAAGAAGAAAACTGACTTTTATAAATTGTTCTCTGACACTATGTGTACATGTGTCTCTCTGTGTGCATGTACAAAGATTTCTACATTGCTTTGTGTTGAATCTGTGTGTATGTGCATGTATGTATATACATGTATTTGTGTTACCTCTCTGAGCCTATACATGTATGTATGCATCTATATTTGTGATTTCTCTGTGTATACATGCACATGTAGTTGTGTGTTTAGGTATGGCCTAGTATATTTGTTTTTGTATCTGCGTACATACAGGTAAGTGCACACGAGTGTATATTAGGGTGATGGTGTGTATCCTTATAAAATTATTCAACATTTAGGCTAATACAAATAGTCTTCACAATAAAATTCTATAAATTTTTCCTCTTTATAAAAATAAAATAAATAGGTAAAAATATAGCTTTAATTCACTGTACAAGGTAATACACAATACCTCATGTCATTGTGCTCTGTCAGCATGTGACAGGACATGGCGTTCTTGACTAGGGAAAAAAAATCACACTGAATTTTGCATGTCTCTACATTGAAAAGTTCAGTTTTTACCAGAGAAACTGCCCCTAGCCACACTTCCATCATTTATAAACTTGTTGACTAAGCCACATAAACGTAAATGTGCAATAGATCTTGCATTCATTATCTCTGCTAGGAGAAAAATTACACTAAAAAGATACAGGAAGGGTTATTCAAATCCACGAAGCAGGGTGACTAAAGAGGAAAAGAAACAGAGCCAAGTGTTAGAATCCATAAATCCTCTTCTCTTTTTTTAACATAATCCCCAGCAATAATAATAATAATAATAATAATAATGATGATGATGATGAATAATAATAATGATTCATTTATGATAGGCTTATATGTGCAACTGATTTATCTTTTGGCTAAATGAGTCTTACAGGAATTGATACAAACAAGATAATGCAATTGAAGTTTGCTTTCTTGGCCTGCATTCTTATCAATATTAGAAACAATCTCAAGTTTTGTCATTATTTTAGAGTGCCTCAGGGAAGTTCTTTTTTATTCTTTGGACATAAGCAGTTTGTTTCATTTGTGTATACTGGTTTGGTAAACACATATGGTAAACTGGTGTCTTAGATCTTTTTATTGCCCTGATAAGACACCATGACCAAAAAAATGAAAATGCTTAATTTGTGCTCATAGTTAAGGAGAGCTAGAGTCCATGACCAACATGGTAGGAAGCATGGCAACAGCAAGACATGTTGCCCCAAAGCAATAGCCATCCTTATGTGTTGATATTAAGCATGAGGCAAAGAAAGCTATGTGACTTTTGAGACCTCGGATGCAGGCTCAAGTGACACACCTTCTCCAACAAGAATATATCTTCTAATTCTTCCTAAAGAGTTCTACCAACTGGGGAATGATACGCAAACTTACACTTAAGGAAGCTATTTTCACTTGAACCTCCATACCTGGGATGGATTAAGGAAGACATGTTTATAACCATCATGCTGTTTCTAACTATCTACACTGTTCATTATTTTCTCATGGCACTCATTTACTCTAGCATCCTTTCATGTTACACATACCCCCTTCTAGTACATGCTCGTGTGTGTGTGTGTGTGTGTGTGTGTATGTATGTGTATGTGGATACAGATGTGTGCGCATAATATCACATCTGAGAACAGTTCTTACACACCTCCAATTTGTTTAAGACAATGTTCCTTGTTGGCCTGTAGTTTTTTTCTTGTAGGCTAGGCTACCAGGCTTGTGAGCTTCCAGAGATCTATCTGTCTCTACCACATATCTTAAATTACTAAGATCACAGGCATGTACCACATGACATAGGTTTTTTATAATTTCTGAGGATCAAACTCAGGTCCTCATGATTGCAAACCAAGAATGTTACTGAGGAACCTATTTCACCAACACCAATTTATGCATTTATTTTCTTCAATGACATATTTCTTGTCTAAGAGAGCAAAATGTAAATGCCTATTCTATCTACCATTTCAAGTACACATGAAAATATAGTTATGTTCTTTATTAGTGGTTCTCAATCTTCCTAATGCTGCTCCTTTAATATAGTTACTCATGTTGTGCTAACCCCCAAACTTTAAATTTTATTCAGTGCTAATTCATCTTCATAACTGTAATTTTTCTACTTTTATGAAATGTAATGTAAATATCTGATATGCAGAAAATCTGATATGGAGACCTGTGAAAGGTTGGTTCACCTCCAAAGGGGTCATTTTCCACAGTTTGAGAACTGCTTTTGTCAACCAAAACATAATAGAGTTGTAGCATAGGATGTTAAAGAGGAGTGAGTCTAAGTTAAGACAGCCAGGAGATACAGGAAATAATTGATTTGTGGTTTATACCCTCAGATTATCTCCTGCTCCTTCTTCTTTCCCCTTCTTTTCTCCTCATTCTACCTCTTCCTTATTTTTCCCATTAATACATTTGTCAGAAGTCAAGGGTTTGTACATAGTCTCCACTCATCTACGATATGACCTAGAGCTCAAAGGTTGAACACTGAGTACCTGTTTTCTAAATCCAGAATGAGCCTCTGCCTCTTCTGGGATGTTCCAGAATTCTCAGCACCAGACACATACAGGCTAATGGGATTTAGCTGTGCTTCTTGTCTCTTGGCACACATACTTTCTTATATTAGAGAAGTGCTGGGCTTCCTATGTGAAAAGAATAATGAGAAAGTTTCAATCTGCTCAATGTTTCAGGGATAGTATTGAAGGCTCTTCTGATCCTTTCAGATGCCTCAGCTGAGAGTCATGTCACAGGTCAGGTCTGAATGGGAGTCAAGAAATGTTACCTGCTAAATAGGATTTTATGGATGAAACACTAGGATCAATAAACAGATAATGCAAATACTGATTCCTGCAAGTAGGTGAAAACTCAAGAGAAGGCCCAGAGGACAGTAATAACTGAACACACACTTGTTCCATGATCTACAGTATGTTTTACTATAAATACATGGAATAATGGATGAGCTAGCTTAAACTTAAGCAATTCAACTGTCAAAAGAGCAAACTGATGAGTGACATGGAGTTGAATGCCAACACCTGTCTTTCCCTCTTCCAGTGCATAGTCTTCGGATGTATAGTAGTGCATTTGGTGTAAGACTTACCCATGTCCTCTGGAAAACCTATAACAAATGTTTCATTTTTGTTCTTTGGACCAAAGAACTCTGCACACTCATTTCTGAGCCTGTTAGGATTTTGTGGCCTTGATGCTATTACTCTCATGAGGAAGCTCATCTGAAGGATAATTTCATTTATGCATAAGAAAAAGAAAATATGTTACAGTTTTGTTTCTGTGGTTCACTTAAAGGCTCTCATTGAAATTTGCCAGAAAGGATAACCTGACTCTATCTCTTTTATGTCAGGTGAAAGACGCTGTAAGCCACATAAAATCCCATGTTTTATTTATGTTCAGAGACCATGGTTGTGTGAAGTTTGATTCTTAAACATTTTAAGAAGAGCTATTTTTCCCTCTCAGGTTCTGCCTGTCTCTCAAGGCAACTTTTCTTTGAAACTGGGTTTCATGTATCCAAAACTGACCTTGAACATGCTATGTAGCCAAAGATTACCTTCACCTTTAATTCTCCTAAACTCTGATCTTGAATGTGGAGACTATTATTGTACAGTGTCATGTATTATTTATTGAATGGTACAGGAAATTCAACTCAGGGTTTTATGCATGCCATGCAACCACTCTACCAACTGAATCACATCTCTGGCCCTGATTTCCAGTTTCTTTAACTTTATTTCTCTCACTGGGAACTTAAGAAATGTTTAGCAAAGCTGACAGTAGGACTACATCTAAGAGTTGCCACAAAGATGTTACTCCTGTGTAATAAAATGTTACAGGTACAGATGAAATTTTCCTTTGGATGAACTTCCTTAGGAAAGTAATAGCATCAAGAATACAAAATTCTAAGAGTCCCAGAAATGAGTGTGAGGAACTATTGGATCCAAAGTACAAAAAGGAAGCATCTTCTTCATATAGATTTTCAATGAGACAGGAATAAGTCTTACATCAAATGCCCTACTCTACATGCTAGACAGCATCAAGGTGATCTAATCTCTTGGCAGTATGGCAGGGGCATCCCTTGTTTGCAGCTAAAAAGTGAACTGGAAAATCTGTGACCACAGTAGAGTCTCTCATTGTGTCTAGGGAGAGAGTCTTGATTTCTGGGAGGGAGGTGAGGAAGGGGTGCAGATAGAAACTCTGTGATCTATCATTTATATTTATGCATTAAAGCTATGACACGTTTCATGTTTGCCCTTTATTTCACACCATTAGGAGGAACATTATCAAGGCAAAAAGGCTTCCTTGGATGTATCCGTTCCCTACAATTGAATGGGCAGAAAATAGATCTGGAGGAGAGGGCAAAGGTAACCTCTGGAGTCAAACCTGGCTGTCCAGGTCACTGTAGCAGCTATGGAAGCAACTGCAACAATGGGGGGAAGTGTGTGGAGAAGGATAGTGGCTACTCCTGTGACTGTACCAACTCACCATATGAAGGACCTTTCTGCCAGAAAGGTAAGGTGGATATACATGCCACTAGTGTATGTGGTTTTGTAGAATCCAAATACCATGGCCAATGATCCTGTGCCCTTAAGCAGTCCAGACCTTTGCTACTGTAGGCAATGTTCTACTACCCACATACCATGTTTAAACCAATGGTACCTATGCCTTCTAGCATGCTACACCATTTCTCCTGTGTGTGGAAATGTAGTACCCACATAGTATTTTCAAAACAATGTTCTTCATGCTTTCAAGCAGTATCTATACTTATACTTTATATTCTTAGACAGTTTTCCTATGCGCATACTCTATTTAGCTCACTGATGTAGTCATTTCCACACATTGGGCTTGTGTGCTTGTTGACAGTGCAGTTGTGCTTAGTAATAATTGAAAATGGGTACATCTTCCTGGGCAGAAAGATCAGGTGATGACTAGAAGTGGATCATCTACTTGTGTTTAGTGGCATGCTAACATTTCTAGTTCCAGTAATTCAATTACAAAATATATCAAAGAATCATAGTGTTGAGTACAGAAGAAGGTATAGAAACACTTAAGCCATCAGGGTGTTTTTTTTTTTAATACATGTCACTGAATAAAGCAAAAGATTTTTCCACTATAAACCTGTGTAGTTCTTCTAACACTGCTTTTACTTTCAAAAATCCAGCTTGCAAAGGACCCAATGTAAACAATATTCAACAACAGCATGTAATATTAAAATGAAATTAATTTAATTTAACTTCTTTCACTTTTTCAATTTACATTCCACTCACTGCCCCCTTCCTGGTAACCCCTCCCACAACTCTTCCCCCATCTCCTCCCCTTATCCTTTGAGATGATTGGGGGCCCCTTTGTTCCTCCCTGCCCTGTGGGGCTGTGGAAATCCTGGGGTGTTTGGCCACGCCCCAGAGACCTAACACGCAAGGCACAGGTAGAGGGCATGGCTAACAGGTCTCTGCCTCAAGATATAAACTACCTAAAGGCCTGAGCATAGTCACCTCCCAAGCCCCTCCTCTCCCCAATATAAGGGGGCCATTCCTGACAGTTTTTGGGAGAGCACATCATCATTCAGACTCATCACCATGTCAATAAATCTCCATGTCTTTAACCCACATGTCTCTTGGAACTCTGGTCTCATTGTGTAAGTGAAAAACTCACATGGGGGAAAGCCTTCTCCGCCCGTCCCTGCGCTCTGTGTGGCTCTAGCAGCCCTCGGGACACTCTCCCCTTACAACAGCTGTCCTGCCTTCGCGGACCGCCAAGGGGACTCAGCCACTGCTTCCAGCTGCCTGGGTCCCCACTCTCCTCGGGGCTTTCTCTCTCCCTGCTGTAACCAGCACAGGCTAGACCAAACCATCCACAGGGAGTGCTGAGAGTCCAGAGTCCCGCCGGCTAAGCTGCGTTTCCCAGGATGGCCTTGGCTTCTCCACGGGCGCACTGCCACGACCCCACGCCCCGCCCGCATGACCCAGGAGAGTTTTGAAACACACCGCCCCCCCCCAGCTCCAGTACATCAAGTCTTTGCATGATTAGGCTCATCCTTTCCCACGGAGGCCAGACTAGGCAGCCTAGCAAGTAGAACATATCCCATGTCCAGGCAATAGCTTTTGGGATAGTCCCCAATCCAATTGTTCAGGACCCAGATGAAGGTCAAGGGGCACATCTATCTGCTACATAGAAGTGACGAGGCCTTGGTCCAACCAATAGATGTTCTTTGGTTGGTGGTTCAGACTCTGAGAACCCCAAGTATCCAGGTTACTTGACTTTATTGTTCTTTCTGTGGAGTTCCTATCCCCTTTGGGTCCAACAATCCTTCCTCTTATTCTTCCATATAGGTCCCCAAGTTCCATGCACTGTTTCACTGTGGGTGTCTGTAATATATCTGAGTCAGCTACAGGTTGAATCCTGTCAGGACAACATAATCGTTTCTGTAAGCATTACAGAGTATCAATAACAGTGTTAGGGACTGGTGCTTTCTCATGGGTTGGGTCTCAATTTGGGCAGATTATTGGTTGTCTCAATCTCTGCTCCCTCCCCTGTGCCCGCATTACTTGTGAACAGGATAAATTTTGGGTTGACAGTTTTATGGGTGTATCATTCCACTGAGGTTTCTGCCTGGCTACAAGAAGTGGCATTTTTAGGTTCTATATCCCCAGTGTAGTGAGTTACAGCTAAGTTTAGCCTCACCCCTCATGGATTCTTGGACTCCTCCCTTATCCCAGATCTCGTCCTGGAGACACCCCCTACATACTCATCCCTGTCAGCTCCAGATTTTCTCTCATTTTCCTGGCCATCTAGCCATCTCTGCTGTCCTTTCCTGTCCTTTTAAGCTTCTCCATCAAGCAGTAGTTCATTTAGTCTAACTTAATCCCAAAGTTACAGGAAAAAAATTAACTACCCAGTATTTCCCTTGAAGAGCCTGTAATCTAACTTCTCCCTTCACACATTAGGAATCTAATGCCAATACTACAGCACACACATTGAGGTTAAAGGAAAACCTGTGTTAGTTAACCTTCCCATTCTGTTATGTGGGTCCATGGATAAAACTCAGGTCCTTGGGTGTGATAAGTAGCACTTTTACCCATTGAATCATATTGTTAGCCATTTTGCAAATAAATGTTCATGAATTCATAGTAATAAATATTCATGAATTCAGTTGCTTACACATAACCTGTAGAAGGTCTAACTAGTCAGTATTCCAATCTGGATGTTGGAGGGGCTGGAGGAGCCCCATCCCTAGCTAAGGATCTATTGACAGTTGATACCTAATAGTTCAAAGAAGAGCCAGTTTCTTTAGGAGTATGCCCACTGACAGGTTGCCTATTCTCCCATAGATGGCTATACATGTATGAAAATAAAGCCAACACTAAGTAGGCTCAGTTTGTGATAAATAAATAAATGAAAAAGGAAAAAAGAAAGAAAGAAAGAAAGAAAGAAGGAAGGAAGGAAGGAAGGAAGGAAGGAAGGAAGGAAGGAAGGAAAGAAAGAACGAAAATGAAGTTAGGAGGTAATACAAGGGAGAAAAATAGGAGTTGGAAGGGATGTGATCAAAATGAATTTTGTATGTATATAGGTTTGCCTTCTGCTGCTGTGATAAATGCAAAGGTCAAAAGTTACCCAGGGAAGGAGGAGTTTACTTGGTTTACAGGTCACAATGTATCACAGTGTATCTTAGGGGAAAACAATTCAGGAACTCAATGCAGAAGAGAAAGTAAAGTCTATTTAAGGAATCTTGCTTTATAGACTTGCCCCTCTTGGCTTGCTTTCCTTGTTTCTTTGCACAACCCATGGTCACTTGTCTAGATGTTGCCCTTGTATTTTTCTCCCTTGTATTACCTCCTAACTTCATTTTCTTTCCTTCCTTCCTTCCTTCCTTCCTTCCTTCCTTCCTTCCTTCCTTCTTCTTTCTTTCTTTCTTTCTTTTGTTCTTTCTCTCTTTCTCTCTTCCTCTCTTTCTTTCTTTCTTTTTTTCCTTTTACATTTATTTATTTATCACAAACTGAGCCTACTTAGTGTTGGCTTTATTTTCATACATGTATAGGCTAGTAGGCCTAGCCTGTTTCACTTCTCTGGCTCTGCAATCTGTAATACAGTTAGCTCCTCTCCTATACTCAGGCCAGTTCTGCCCCATCACTGCTACTTACCTTGGCTGCTGTGGCAAAATCCTAGAATCTCTAAAAGGATGAAGTCTTTACCATAGTCAAAGATTTCCTGGATTCTCTCTTGTGACTGTGACACCCCACAGGTATCCCTGACTCACTATAAAATGGTCTGCTTACCCCTTCCATTCTCTCTTCCTCTTGTCCTTGCCCTCTTGCTCTTTCTCTGTCCCCTTGTGTCAGTCAGAGGGCAGATCTTGCGCCCGGGTCGCGCAGGGGTGCCCTAGTGCAGGCTCACAGGCCAGCACCCATATGCCCGCATGCAGATGTCAGGGCGGTCCCTGGAGCCACAACCTCAGCCTGCAGTGGCACTCTCTGCTACAAGCGGCTGCAGAGTCCCTAGAGCAGAGACACCCGGATGCTGCACGCCAGAGGAGACACTGGGGCTCCAACAAAAGTGGGCATAGAAAGTCCTGCTCGGAAGCATGCAGAGAGGAGATGGGAACCTTGGCTCTCAGGAGAAAGTGTCCTGCAGCTCACTAGCTCTCTCCCACTCCTGCCCCATCGCTTTGATTTTGGCTTACCCAATGAGTCCAGGATTTCACGAGACATGTGGAGATTTAAGATGTGTTGATTTATTAACAGACAGCGGGTTTGGATGGTAAAAAGGCTCTCCCAAAACCTGTCGGAAGTGGTTTGTTTATATATTGGAAGCAGGGAGAAGGGCGGGGCCAGGGAAATCTTGAGGCAGATATTTGTTTCCCTGCCCTCTACTTGGGGCATGGAGACCTTGTGGCAGGGCTCTGGGGGCGTGACCGAACACCCAGGATTCTACGGTCCCACACCCTTGTCCCTTTCCCCCTCTCTCCCCATTCCCTTCCCCCCCTCTATCTCCAGGAGCTCACAGCCAGCCTCTAGCCTCTCTCTCTCTCTCCCTCTCTCTCTCTCTCTCTCTCTCTCTCTCTCTCTCTCTCTCTCTCTGCCTCTACTACTCTCTTGACTCCTCTACCCATGCCTTGAATAAACTCTACTCTGTACTATACCATTGTGCAGCTGGTCCTTTGGGGGAAAGGATGCCTTAGCATAGGTCTGTGGGGGCATGCCCCTACCCCATACATCACTATACATCCACTAAAACATATTCCTTCTCTCTTAATCTTTTTACAAACACATTAAGTACAAGCTTTCCAACTTTACCTTCTCTCAATTATCCCTCCAATGTTGGAGTTTCTACTGTAACTGAGGTTATATCTTCAACAATGGCCACTCATGATGCCATACTTCAGTTTGGCTCTCTGAACCTTACTGCAGTTATGAATCATTACTGCAGTTTCATACCACCAAAACCAATAGTGTCTGGAAGATTCTTATACATTATCTGGCTTGGTGGAAGCTGGAAATGTAGCTTTGACCTCTCTG